CTTTGCGAGCAGAGGGAGCCCAGACCCCGGTTAGATGCTGATGCGGAGCAGAGCATCCCCTGGGCACCTGCCTCAGCACAGGAGTCTGTGTGTGTCCCCCCCCCGCCCCTCTGCTCAGGGACCTGCCTTCATCCCTGGGGAAATAAAACCCAACCCCAGCCACGTCTCTTTTCTGAGCCTGCTGTCTCTTGCCAGCCCCGGTCCCTCGCAGCGCCTGGGCTGTGCCATGCTGGCAGGGATGGACCCACCTCCGTTCACCCCCAGCTCAAGGCTTGGGGGTCTCCTGGCAGCACCCCGAGGCCGGGACCAGCCCCCAGATGTTTTCTCCTCCTGAGTACGCTTTGATTTTTGGTGCATGCCGAACTCTGGCAGTGTGCCTGGGGCTTCACGGGACCCCAAAGCTGCCACCCCATCCATGCAGGCAGCTGTGGCTTTTCGGGCAGCCTGGGAGGAGGAGAGCAGGCTGAGTCCTCTGCACCGTCAACTCACATCCCAGTACAGAGCTTGGTGACTGTCCCTGTGCCCCGACAGCCTTTGGGTGTCACAGCAGGGAAATGCAAAGGTGTTTTCCTCCCCACATCCATCCCAAGCTGTGCTTTATCCTACTGAGCCCAAGGAGGAGGAGATCCCCTGTATGTGGTGCACCAGGAAGGAAAGCCCTGTTGAGATCGGCCACCTCCACGTACATGTGGGCACTGGCCCTGGTGGCAATCAGCATCATTTTGCCCAGAGCAGCAGCAGGAGCCCGCAGGGCTGGCATCTCCCTGCCTTGATCCCTTGATTCCTTGACGGACCCCCCACATATCTTCCAGGAGCTGAAGAGCACAGACATGAAGTATCGCAACCGGGTGCGGAGCAGGATCAGCAACCTGAAGGACCCCAAGAACCCCAGCCTGCGGAGGAATGTGCTGTGCGGGGCCATCCTGCCCAGCCTCATCGCCCGCATGACTGCCGAGGTGGGGAGCAGCGTGGGGGGCGTGGGGCTGGCTCTTGTGGCCCACGTCCATGTTACCTCTGGGGGTGAGTGAGACCTCCCAAAGCCTCTGTTCCTGTTGCCCAAGAGCTGGCTGGGTCTCAGCTTGGTGGTGTCCGCACTGGGCTTGTCCCAGCATCTCCCTGTCCCACCCTGGTGCTGGCGGGGGCACAGGGAGCATCAGGCCATGGGTGCATAAGCATGGGGGTGGCAGCCAAAAAGATCTGGGGCACCGCCTGGTCCCCCCAGAGCCCTGTAACTCCCCAGCCCATCACAGAGCTTGGTGCAGGATGTCACACTGGCAGGAGTCAGGCTTGAGGGTTCCCATTCCTCCTACTCAACCAGGGTCCCCAAATCAGGCTCCTGGGACCCCAGGTCCCACCGTGGGGAGCCAGGTCCCTGCAAGCAGCAGTTTTGGTTTAAGGATGGTGTGATTTTTTTTTTCATCTGGATGGGCCTGAGCCCTCCAGCAAGCACAGAGAGCAGGATCAGTCCTGGTCCTGGAGAGGATGGGGAGGGTGCTGGACCATGCTGGGTTGCACCCTGTGCCAGCTTGGCTGTGAGCCCCTGGGCAGAGCCGCAGCAGCGCTGACCCTGCTGGGCTGGTGCCGGTGGCAGGAGATGGCCAGCGACGAGCTGAAGGAGCTGAGGAATGCCATGACCCAGGAGGCCATCCGGGAGCACCAGATGGCCAAGACAGGTGGCACTGTCACTGACCTCTTCCAGTGTGGCAAGTGCAAGAAGAAGAATTGCACGTACAACCAGGTCAGCCCTGCAAAGCCCCTGGGGCTCCCTCCCATCCCCAGCGAACCCCAACTGGGGGAACGCCAGAGGGGTCTCCACTCACCCGGCCGCCCGTTCCATCCTAGGTGCAGACACGCAGCGCTGATGAGCCCATGACGACATTTGTGCTGTGCAATGAATGCGGGAACCGCTGGAAGGTCTGTGCCCAGCCAGGGGGGCTCTGAGTGCCCCAGCCCTTTCCTGGCCCTGGGGTAGGTGGCAGAGCCCCCCAAAATGGTGCCGAGGGCTGGGTGAGGGCTCACTGCCTGCCCCTGGCTCTGCTTTTCCTGCAGTTTTGCTGACGGTGCCTGGCGATGGGGCTGGAGGGGACGCGGTGCGAGATGGGATGCTGTGACAGCCACATCGGGCAGCTGAGGTGGGGAGGGAGGGTGATGGGGCAGCACCAGTCCCCACATCCCCGCTCCCTGTTTCCTTGCACCGGGTTCCCTTGAACATCCCAGGAAACTGGGCTCTGGCGACAGGCGAGTTTGCTTGGGAAGACCTGGGTGAATTCGAGCGGTTCCTCCTTGTAAATACCTGCCCTTTGCTTGGGGGTGCGCTGGCAGCCCACTGGGAACAGACGCAGCTGTGGAAAGGGACACTGGTCTGACCCGGGCAGCTTGCCTTTCCCTGGGGGAAACCTGGACTTGGATGATTTGGGGGCAGGAGGGACATTGTCCCGTGGATGTGGGGCTGTGCCACTGTCCCGGGGGTGGGAAAGAGCCAGGTTTTACCCCCAAATACCTTCTTCTCCACCTAAGTGCAGCAGTGGGAGGACACGGAAGGATGCAGGGTGGTTGTAGGGTGTCCGGATGCTGGAGGGATGCCACCGTGTCCCTCCGCTCTGCGACACATGGACCTGTCTGGAAGGAACTGTGTCCCCAGGAAAGGAGAAGGGATGGGGGGCAGAGGAGTGGGGGAAAACCCTCCAGCTAGAGCAATAAAGATGTGATCTGTCTCTGCGTCACAGACTGCTTTCTGAAGAGGGGTTGGGACCTGTGCCTCGGTTCGCACCCCTCTGGCTCGAGCCTTGCAGTCCTCCAAGAGCCCCCGGCCAGCTCTGGCACGTGTCTTGAATTCACCAGCCCCCCAGCTTGGGATGTAGTGGTAGCTTGATGCCCATCCATCACCTGCCTGGTGATTAAATACCTTTAATTAAGGCTGGAGTGGCTCCCTGGCTGGGGCTGGATGTTGAAGGCTGTCCTGTGGCAGGGCAGCACCTCTACTGACAGCTGGGAGGCTTTTCCAGGGAAAGGGCACTGGGGACCGGCCAGGAGATGCACCTTTGGCTACAGGAGGTGCAGGATGGAGCCTTATGGCACCGATCCTGTCGCTTGCCGCCACCAGCCTCTCCCAGTGGCTCCCATACCGAGTGGCTCCATTACGGAGGCAGCAAGATGTGACGGGGACACAGGTAAGGTCATGGTGACTGTGGGTGACCGTGGATGGGGCATGAGGGTGCTGCTCCGGTGCCTGCGTGAGATGACGGGCAGGAGTGGAGGAGGATGGTGGAGCTGTTGGAATAACCAATCATTAATTTTTTAATCTTGGGATGAGGTGTGAATTTTTCCCCAGGCAGAGCTCAAGGCAGTTTGCACCCAGATTTGGGTGCTAACCCCCCAGTCTCTGGGGGTCCTGGCAGCCCAGGGAAGGGTCAGACACCCCTGAAAGCACGTTTCAGGCTTTGGTGCTCATTAGCACGCCAAAATCATTAATAAGCCTCCAAGGCAATTATTTACACTTGCAAAGTCATGTGGCTGCAATTAAGGAATACGCGGGGTTGTGGGGGATGAACAAAACATCGGCATCGCCTTGTGCATCGTGAGCGGTGTGCAGGGAGTGCAGGACGGGCAGCACCGTGCCAGCATCACACAGGACCAGGGCTTATGTGCTGTCCCCAGAGTGCAATAGAGCGCGTTTGGGTGGGACAAGCCTGAGACGGGGGGATTTAGACCCATATTTTTTGCAGTCCAGTTCAGCAAAGGTGTCTGAGCAACACTGGAGAGAACCTGGCCCAAACACTTTGTGACGGAACTCCCGGCATCCCTATGTGTCTGTCTGTCCCACAGGGGACACGTCCCCAGGGAAAATGTCACCCTGCACCCCCCTCCCAGTTCTCCTGAGAAATCCCAGAGGAGGAAAGGGAGCAGAGAAGGCAAACCGGAGAGCTGGGGGCTGCCAGGGGCTCCCCTGCCATCCATGCAAGGTGATCTTCCCCAGGGAGCGTTTTCCCACCTGCCTGGGGCTGGAGGTGCTTCAAGCCCTGAAGGATGCTTTGGCCTCTGGGTGGGGATGCAGGATCTGTCCCCCTGTGGCATGGCCGGCGGGGTCACTGGGGCAGGGGATGGCGAGGGGCACTCTGGCATCCAGCTGTTTCCAGGGGTTGAAATGAGCTCTGGGTGGCTCTTGGGGACAGTCCGCAGGGCTGAGCCTCCGACCTGCTCCACGGGGAGGGCACAAACACCTGCATGTGTTAGAAAAACCTGGTTCCCAAATTTCCAGTCCCTGAACTGGGATGGCTGACAGCATTTGGGGTTTGGCTGAGCTCCCTGGGAGATCCCACTGTTCCCTCCCCAGCCATCACCCATAGGTGCCATGTTCCCGGGGCTTTCCTGTCTCTCCTCGACAGGAGACGGTCCCTTCCTCCCCTCTGCATCCCATGGCAAGGAATAAGTGCAGGCAAGAAACGTGGCAGCCGCCTGTTTTGCCAGCGCTCAGCCCAGGAGCTCTCTCTTGACCTTTGGGAGAAGTGGGCACTTCAATTCTGATTTTTCATCAGTACCAAAGAGGTGTAGCCATGGCTTCCAAGAGCACACGCTAATGCTGGTCCCCTCCCCTGCCCTTCCTCTGCCTGCGCAAACTCTGCAGGCAGGGAGGCTCAGACAAGAGCCCTCAGGAGCTCTGAGGCTCTGTCGAGGCCCTGGGCTTGAGCCAAGCTCTCAGGAGCAGGTGGGCTCCATCCGGGGCTGTTTGTGACCTTGCAATGATGGACAGGCCCATACAGTCCCTGCTAGGTGCACGGAGAGCCTGGGGGGCTCCCACGGTGGCTTCCCCCCCCATCGGGGCTGCAGGTTTTAGATGCTGCGAAGCTTCAGTGGAGGCCGGTGTCTCTTCCTGCCTGTCCCTGCCTTGCCCTCCACAAGGCACTAAATCCTCAACATGATGGAGGTGTTATTGTTAACATACAACCTGCCACACTTTAAACAACCCCACGGTCTGCCCTCCCCAGCCAGGTCCCCCATGCCCCTGCAGTGATGGGGACAGCCACCATCAGTGCCACCAGACCCCAGCCGTTCCCCATGACCCCCTCTGAGACAATCCTGGGGACACTATGTCCTGTAGGTGCAGAATCCAGCACACCTGAACATCCACATTTTGCTTTGCAATCCTGGCTTGTCCAGAGTTCAATCCCCCCCACACCTCAGCCCCCTGGCTCGACCATGTTGTGGCACTTCACTGCCACCCTTCTCTCCTGCATTTTTTCCAGCCTTGACAAAAAAAGACAAAAAAAAAAAAAAAAGTCAGTGCTTTGCTATTCATTGCTTTCCTTGGCAACTCCATTTCCCCATCCTCCTCTCGCTTGACACCTCACTAACCCCCCTGCCCCTGGTCCCAGTCGCCAGCCCCCAAAGCACGGTGGCGGGTCCCTGTCCACGGGGATGGAGCAGGAGGTGGTGGGTCCCGATCTCCCCCAGGAGGGCTGGTCCTGTGGGGGGATGACCCTCAGCCAGGGCTCACCGAGGATCTGGACTTCTTGGAAAGGGGATGGAGTAGCCGGTGATGAATCATGTGTGAACCAAACTGAATTAATGCAGTTCTGGATCTGGTTTTTACCCCTCCGTGTGGGTCCCTGTGTTCCCCCCATGCCCTACCCCAACCCTGGGCAGCAGGACCCCCCTCAGCACCAAAGAGTCGAGCCCTCTAGACACTCTCTGGGGTGATGCTGTGGCTGCATGGCCCCCCCAAGGAGGCTGGAGGTGTTTTGGGGGCTACTTCCGGCGCATGGGAGCATCGCTGGGTCTGCCAAGTAAGCCCAATCCTGTGCCTGCCTGGGCCCGTGGCGTTGCAGTCTAGCGCATGTCGGGACGTCTGATGTATTGGGTTTGCGTGGCAAGGTTTT